TCTCAAGATTTTTAAATCCACATACATCTCATCATCTTGATCACATGCATCTCATCATCTTACATCATGTGAATTTTACTTACAAAATAAAAGCCTTATGTAGGTCTTATCAAAGTTCATGTTGGCATTAAAAATCCCTTGTAATTCCAAACCTTGTCCTCAAATATTTTACCAAGTATTTTTTTTTAAAAATCCCTTGTAATTTCAAGATTCTTTTTTTAAAAAAATCCCTTGTCCTCAAAATTTCAAGATTCTTTATATTTTTGAGCATGGTAGTCCACGTTGGATTTGTTTTTATTTTTTATTTATTTTTTAAATGTCAGGTGGAATAATTAGAGTCTCAAGATTTTTAAATCCACATACATCTCATCATCTTGATCACATGCATCTCATCATCTTACATCATGTGTCATCATCTTGATCACATGCATCTCATCATCTTACATCATGTGAATTTTACTTACAAAATAAAAGCCTTATGTAGGTCTTATCAAAGTTCATGTTGGTATTGTCCAAACCTTGTCCTCAAAATTTCAAGATTCTTTGAGCATGGTAGTCCACGTTGGATTTGTTTTTATTTTTTATTTATTTTTTAAATGTCAGGTAATTTCACTATTTTTTTAATTATTTATTTATTTTTTGTATATTAATTTTTTTATGTTTTTGTAAATTGATTTTATTAATATATAAATTAAATATTTTTCAAGTCTTCAATTATTATACTAAAAATGTAATGTGTGAGAAAGCTATATAAACTCTTCCATTTAGAGTATATTTTTCGATGTGGGCTTTGAAACCATGCAGTTTCCATACTGCTTGCTTCCATACTGCATTTATGCATACTGCTTTGATATATTGTAGAAAATCAAAAACTCCAATTATACTAGTAACAACATAAACGTGCACTATACACATCTAGAACATCTTTCCTTAAGTTTGCATGCATGTCATGCATGTGAAATAAACAAGTCTTCAAGTTAATAAATGCATGCTTCATAAGTTCTCTCTAACTTCTATCTAGATTGTCAACTTACTGAAGAAAAAATGATGTGAGATGAGTTCATATGCATGGTCTTCAATATCAATTTCACTGGGCATAGTTCTCCCGTAAATAAATGACTTTGTACCCATTGTTGTAAACGACATTAAGCCAAATGCTCTAGCAGTTTTAATCTCCATGGCAACCTTCCTTTGAGCCTTTGCACTGATGCCAGTCTAGTCACAATAATGAATAAGAAATAAGCAGTAGCAGTACTAATTGTAAAATATCCACTCTTTATTTTTCCTTCTAAGAGTTCATTATTCCTAATCAATATACTATCCTAAACTAGATTAGAACTTACCTTGTTTCTCTTGATAAGAATTCCAGCTAACATATTAATGAATTTACCTTGCTTCTCTTGATAAGCATTCCAGCTAACAAAAATATAACATGTTAATGAATTAAGAAAAACACCATGGTTAGTTAGTAGAAAGTGAATTGAGTAACTTGTATAGTATAGAACAAATATGAGAGATGAAGATAAAAAGATAAAGAGAACATGGCAGTCGAAGGTGACGATGAACAGTGGATCGAAGTTGGAAGGAAATGGTGGTTGATATTTTATGTGTGTATACATGAGTTAGATGTTACAAAGGAAATGATATTGAGTGGATTTAGGTACAAATTACATACAAGTCTGTAAAAGAGGTGAGGTTAGAAATAGAGTAAGGGATTGTCCCAGTCAAGTTATTAAAGGCAAATTTTTTGCATAAAAAGTAAGAAGTTTGTCCCACATCGTTTTGTAAAAAAATAAAAAACTAGTATTTATAAATCAAACTCTCATTAATGTTGTCAGTTAAAAAATTGAGAGATTAAATGGGCTAAATATGAAACAAAAATAGGCTTAGGCCTCAATAATATTTTGATAATATAAAAATATAATTTCTAAAAAATATTAATAAAAACGTAAATATTTAATATATAAATAATTTTAAAAAAAGTAAATTAAAAAAATTAATAAAATATAAAATATAATTTAAAATTAAAACTAAAATATAATTTAAAATTAAAATTAAAATATAAAATATAAAAAGATAAAAAAAATTTAAAAAAAATCCACATGGATTAAAAAATAAATAAATTGAAATTGCAAGGGATTTTTTTTTAAAAAACTTTACCATGAACTAAAACCTAAACTCGCTAACATTGCAAGAGGGTTTTGTATATTTGACCTAAGTATTTTTTCTGTTGCGAAATTTTCTAAAGATAATAATGTTGTTTATAAATTATTGCTTGATAAGTGTTGGGTAAAATCTCAGGGTTCAAAAGAAAATTCTCATTGAGGTGTTTCTAGATGTCAATTTTAATTTTGTCAAGAATGTACTCAATTTTTGTAATGTGCCCATAGAAAATAAAGGTAACTTTGGTTTGTGTAAATCTTGATGTATTTGAAAAGATCATAGACTTTGTTCACCCATGTCTATAACTATTTATTATAATGTTTTTGAAGTAGTTCATAATGATTTATGCGTTACATCTAGTTCTAGTATGGTGGTTTTATGTTGATTTTAGAGGACCTACTCAAGTGAGGTGAGATGATATGTATATTATTGTGGTGCTTGGGTATAAGCATATGAATTATTATATGTGTAGGTTTTGATCCATCCTCTCTCTTGTTAGGGGAGAAGTATTTATCAAGGCCTATGGTTTACGAAACTCTTAGAGGCAGTAACCACTCCCCCGTGACCAGGGGATGCTATTGACTATCTATTTTCTATGGATTTATGATATGACTCATTCTCACATGACTAATGGGAAATAACGGTACTATACATGTCATATGTCCTAAGGGTGAGCCCCCGTGCTCAGTGAGGATGTCTCCTGGGCGACATCACTCTAGGTTGGGACCTCAAAGTCACCCTTGTTTGAGAATCTCACAAATATAACACTACGCAGTACCTCAAGTATGAGGGCATGTAAAAGGAAAAGTATTTTTATGGATATTTTTAATTTGAGAGGTGAACTAGCTGAAGGCAGCCTTACTAATTAGAGGAGAGTCCATTAGCTTAGGGAGAGTCGTTTAGATGAAGGAAATCTTTTCAATGTAAGGAGAGTCCCTTCTTTTGTTTTCATAAGCCCCCTAGTTGAGGGATGAGTCTTCTCCCATTTCCAGATGTCTTCTGATTAGCTAAAATGTCAGTTACGAATCTAGGGGTGTCAATTTGCATCTGTTAACGGGAATCCCTGTGGGGATTATCTATTCGGAGCATCGAAGTTGGAGATTTTCCCCCCACGAGGATGGTGATTGAGGGAAAAGTTCCCCCGATGACACTTTGGGGCGGGGATTGGTAAAGTAACCTCTGCCCCGTAGATTCCCCGACTCCGACCATATTATTTAACTTTTTTTATTTTATATATTATATAATATACATAAATGTATTAGAAAATGAAGAGTCGTGGGTGGATCGTTTTATTTTTATGTTTTATTGAATAATGTATTGTTTCACCACCCAAGTATCCAACCCTAGAAAAGTGCCCCAATACATAGAATTTACACATCATCTCCTTTTATTTTCTCAATTATATTTATCTCTTTCATTCATCATCTCCTATGTTCTCATCATAAGCACAACAACCACTTTCCTTTATTTATTGTGCTTATGATAATTACTCTTCAAATTAACTTTACTTCCATTAGTAACATGTTTTTCATTCAATTAATAAATTAGTAATTACGAATTTGTCATACTCACACATAATCAACCACTAGACGACAACGGTAATGTGGTAGTAAATTAGCAGAAGCATTGTAGCAATAAGTTCTGTTAATATTTTTTTATAGAAAAAAATATTAGCAATAACAAGTGCTTTTGCTTTTTTTATTATTATTGATTCAAGATGTATTTTTATTTTTTCAAAAAAGAATGATGCAAAATACATGTGTGTTTTTTAAAATAAAAAATAACAAAATACTAGTATCATAGTTTTGATTGAAAAGTATAGAAATTTTCTTAATATTCGATCTTTGTGGATCTCTGCGGGGATCTGTGTGGATGGGGGGAAATATTCCCCCGTGGCGGGGATTGGGGATGGGGATGGGGAATAAATTTGGAGGCGAGGCGGGGAGTGGAGAAGCATCCTCTGAACATTCCCTTCTCTGTTGACATCCCTAGTTGGGAATGACAATCAATCTTTCAAATGGTCACGCTTACTTCTATTTAATGTAAGTAATGATGACCTATTTTTTGAGACCTTAAACGTTAATGTCACATGTAAAAAGTGTGAAATTATGGGGGGTCTAAAAGTTTTCTTATAATTTTAAGTCCCTTATAAAAGTTTCACCTTACACTATATTGTTGTATATTTCTCCCACGACTTTGGCAAGCTCCCCTGAACTACGCAACTCTTCTACGCCACTGATTCTTCGTTCATAAACCTTTTCCATGTATGGATCTTCTTTTTTTTCCCATAATCTATAATGAGTAGGGTTTGTGAAGAAATGTTTGAAATATGGTAGGGTTATAGGTTTTAAGGGTTATAGCCATCCTCTTTAACGATTGTGACGAAGATGATGATTTCTTTTTGTTCTGCTATTTTCCCAGGAATAAAAAGACAATGGTTTCCCCTTTCATCGTGATCAAGGACGTTGAGGACATTGGACCTTATTACACTTCTAATGAATAGAACCTCCTTTTTCGAACAAGAGTGGAGGTTTCCTCCTCAAAAGATGAGGAGATAGTTATTTTGGAGGCTTGTTCGCTGTCGGGGAGGGTGACCACACCTATCTCCTTCAGTACTCTCTCTCCCTATTTTTATTTCTACCTCCTCCTTTATCAAGTATATGGGATTTTATCTTCCTTTTTACCCTTTTTATATTGAGGTTATGAGGTTTCTCAGCGTCGCCCCTATCCAGTTGTTCCATAACAGTCGAGGCTTTATTAAGCTTTTGAGATGGTTTGTGAAGACCTGGAAATTACCCCAATTGTAGGAGCCTTTTTCTCCTCTTACACCACCAGAAATGCGAAGGGTAACTAGGTGTCTTTAGGTGGTTCGTTGGGGAAGGTCTTTTTCATGTCTCACTCCAATCATTACAAAATGGGAGAGGATACAAGCTATTCGTGGGGAGACTAATATCTCTTAGAGTCACCCAGAAGGCTTCACCACCAAGGGCGGGAAAAGGCAAGTTGGGGATCAAGTTCCAAATTTTCCCAGTATGAAGGCCCAGAGGCTGGAAGATGGTTCTTCCCTTGCTGCGTGTACCGTCTCACCTACTTCTGGGAAGTGGAGCATTCAAGTGACATCTGAAGGTGAGGCTCCCCCACCACCTGTTACTTTGTAGAGTCGTGTAGATTTTGACACTTTCCAACTCAAGAGTTCTCATATCTCTTTCTCCAAGGAGTTTCCTGAAGATTACTAGGCCCTCTAGTCAAAATTGACACTTGCAATTATAAGCATGAAGGATAACCTTCTGCTGAGGGTGATGATATGGAAGATGTTAACTAGGAGAGGCGAGATAAGGCTGGGAAGGAGATATAGGTGAAGCTTCAGAAGCATGTGGATATCTATAATAAGAGCCAGATGTTGCTGAAGGCCCTTCAGGAAGACAAGGAGACTTGAGAGTAAGCATGGCAACGGGGCAAATCGGAAACGGTTTTTACCTCCCCCAAACCCAAACCCAAATCCCATAACGATCCACATTCCCTTTCCCAAACCCCAACGAGAATGGAAAATTAAAATTCAAACTTGTCCCAAATGGGTTCTGGTTGGATTTGGATATCTCCGCCCCGCCACCATCCATTTAGTGAAGTCAATTTTTTTAATATAAATATTTATTTTTTTCAAAATCAAATTACGTTACAAGTAAAAAATAAATAAAAATTCAAAAAATTTCATACAAACACTTTAAATATTTTAAATAATAAATACAAAATCAAAATGTCAAAATAGTGGCCACATATTTATACTAGACTTTGTTAATTAAAATATTTATTTAGATTTTAAAACATTTAGAACTGCTGACATGGATCCAAAGTCAAGTTGTCACCTCTTTAATGAAACTGACAAATAAGGAAAAATAGAGTGGGACCACAAAAATCCAAAGGCCATTAAAATTAAGGAATCAGGATTATTGATTTTGTAATAGGGAGACTAATTATTTAAAACACTTAAAATAGGAGGATCAAAAATATATTTAAGCCATTATTTCATTATGAGAATTTTTTAGTTGCCAATCTGTGGGTGTTTCTTTAAACCCCTTCCGTTCAAAATAAAGATTTGATCCTTTAGCAAAGGGGTACTAATTTGTTACTTAATTTGCGAAGGTTTTTAATAACCCCCTCTTTAAAACCTATGATATCTTGCGTATTTTTTATAGTGGTTATACTTATAACTCCAATCTTTGTGTCTATTTTTTTCTATTTTATCCACCTCCTCAAAAGATGTGTTGTCATCATTAAAAAAAGAAGAGAAAATATGGATCTAGGTGTTGGGCGTGTATAACAATTATGTGGTTTTGATAATGATAATTGTAATTTTGAAGATAATAACTATCAAGCGGTTTAAAAGATGACATCTCCACGTGTCAAAATGCTTTTGATGTTGATACCTCTTTCAAGAGTTCTTGGTGGCTACTCTCATGAGAGTAATTGCATCTATCTGGTGGTTCCTGATTATGTCATCTACACAAGATATCTCAAGCCTCATCATTCTCTTTTTTCCACTAAATTTGCTTTAGTGTTGAAAGATTAAAATGTCTTTATGAGAGTTCTGTTGTAATAGCATTGTGCTTAATTATTTGTATTCCAAACAATGATTCTCTTGTGTAATATTTTTGTAAAGGATTTGAAGGTTGAAAGCTAAACTTGAAAAAAAGATGTAAAACTCTTGTTTGTTGTTAGAAGGTGCTTGAGTTAGGATTGTATAAAAGCTTTATTTGTTGGTTTGTAGTTAATCTGGTGTAAAAGCTCCATATATTGTTGAAGTTCGTTTGAGATAATCCTATAAAAACTAAAAGTTGATTTTTGAAGAACTCTAAAAAAAAATTCTTGAAGACGTGAGTAAGATAAATAATTAGGTCAAACCTCTATAAATATCTGATATAAATTCTCTACCAATTCTCTCTTTTTTGTTTATTTTTTAATTGCATTTCTCTCTTCTTCTCATTATTTCACTGTTATTTTTCTATTTGATTGTTTATATAAACATAGTCGCTTTTAAAATCAAAGTTTTAGTAGAGAAATTTAACTGAAGTTGATGCGACATCTTTTATTTCTCATTTCCATTATGTGATTTGTAAATCTTTAATTATTTCTTTTGTTTGAGCACTTATAAATGAAAGTTGCAATATTTATATGGAGAAAATTTTAGTTATTTGAATCTCTTTTTAGAAAAAGTGATTTATGTTACGTTAGACATTGAATTCTTCTACACCGTATCATTTTTCAAGCCATTTTAACTACGGCACAAAAATTAAGGCAGGAAAAAATTGTTAAAAAGATAAAACTATGTATAATTGTACTCCCTCCGGTCTCATTTATAAGAAAAAATTAATTTTTTAGATACATTGAATAAGTAATGTATTTGGACAATATATTGTCCAAATACATTACTTATTTAATGTATCTAAAAAGTTAATTTTTTCTTATAAATGAGATCGGAGGGAGTATTTATATATGGTGTGGTGGTCCATTTTTAATAGAGGTGTGCAAAAAAAACTAGTTTATAAGAATCAATTTTAAAAATTCAGTGCACCACTTTTAAAAATCTAATTTTTGTTAAAAGAAAACTTATCCAATTCTATTTTGTCACCAAAACTAATAACCGGGATCCGTTTTTCAAAACCAATGGTGATCCGTAAAACCATAATTTTAATGAATAGTGAATATTACATTGTCTTAAAGCTACTTCATTCCATTCTTACAAATGATTTGCCACATCCACGTTGTACTGTGTTCTCTCATTCAAGGTCATATTCTTAAAAAAATTAACTACTCTAACATTATATTTCTCTTGTTTAATATATTTATTTAATTAATTAAATTAAATATATTTTTAACTTCTAAATAATAATTTAACTCAACTATATTTTTTCATGAGAAAAAAAGGATATACACTCATGTTAAGTGGTAAATCATAGGATTATTATTAAATAAATCATGATATAAATAAATGATGCTTTTTCATTGGATAACAATGTATAGTTATTTCATATTATCATTGTATTATCTTTTAACTCTTTTTTCATTTGTTAAAAATTACATCTTTATAAAAATTTTGACAAAATTTTATTTTTGTCCTTTAATTTAATTATAATTTTTTCTCCGTTCTCTTCAAATTTTTGTTTTATTTTAGTAAATCAATTTAGTCTTTTAACTTTTTTATTGTATTTTGATTCCTTATTTTATAATTATACAACATCGACACTTTTGAAAAAGACGTTTTTGTGTTAGTATCAACACTTGCATTGACATTTATAATTATATTTTATTTATTTTTTTTTTTTTAAATTGTTGTTAATGTCACTATGTCAGTGTCAGTGTCCAAGTCTTTTTCGACATGTTCATACTTTATACTCTCTTCATCTCATAATAAGTGTCTTATTATTTATTTTTTATGTCGCAAAATAAATATTTTGTTTAGAATACTAATATATCATTTATTATTTTTTTCCACTACTATACTCTTATTTATTAATTTTCACATTTTTCAACTACTCTATTAATTATAATAAATAAAAATATTTTAATAAATAATATTAATTTTATCATTAAAATCAACACATCTAATTTTTTCTTAAAAATCACATAGAACTCAAATAAAACACTTATTATAAAAACGGAAGAAGTAGTTTATAGTGTTATAAACATTAAATAATTTAATTTCTAATGTTAGTAATTTAAGAGACTAAATTGTCAAATATTACTAAAATGTCAATTTTGATAAATTAATAAGAGATCAAAATATCTAAAAAGAATAAACAATTTTTTTTAGAAGCCATATCAATTAGAGTATTATTATAACGACGCAACAAAGTCAATAACTTCAAAAAGAAACATTTAGCTTTTATAATTATAGGTAGCATTTATTTATAAAAAAAAAAAATACAATAAAATGTGAAACAAATTATTTCGTGTACTTAATTGTTTGTGCAATTAGAAGAAATGGGGCACACAATTCTATTAATAAACTAACACAGTTTACTTACAAACCAGTTTAAACCGATTTGAATTAATTTTTAACCGAATTGAAACTATTTTACATTTTCAAACTGATTTTTATTAAATGTGATTTGGTTTTTAAACCAAAATCAATTAAGTGGATTAGTTCTTGTAATTTGGTAACCATGTACACCCCTAATTTTTAGTGTTGTGCTAACATTTTTCTATCAATTATTGTTGAGAATATAGTAAATATGAATAATAGATAAATAATTTTATATTGGATAGAGATATGGTTACTTAAATTTTTTTTTCAATTCACACATACATATTGTTCCAAAAGTTTTACATATTTAAGGCTCATGGTCTCATGGTAACCTAAAAATGATGAAGAAATTCTAGAAAAGTTGAGCCACTTGTCTCATGGTAAGCCTTTAAAATGTGTTAATTATCTCTCCGACCGATACATCCATCCATATAGACATCACTATTCAATTAATTTGAAATTAAAGTGATAGATATTCAACGTTCCGGTTTTTGTAATGCAAGCAAACATCATCGTATCATGTCAAAGTCTTACGTTGTAGTAATACCATTACCAGTAGTACACTACTTACTTGTTGATAGGGAAAACTCTTATTGGTGAGAACTATTTGAACTGAATTGTAGGCTTATTAACTTCCCGTCAGAAATGACTGCGCGAGGACGAAGTTCTCATCGCTTTTTTTCTTATTATTCTTTGACTTTTGTTAAAAACGGAGAATATATGAGAGGTATACATATTTTAAACCTTTTTTTTACTTATTATTATTCTTTGACTTTTGAAATAATTAAACGGAGAATATATGCAAGTAGTACATATTTTCTGTACCCATTACCAACTACAGTTGACTAAGCAAGCATACTCTCCATTCATCAATCAGAGTACTAATATTATTTTTCACTTCAATTATTTATATTTTTAAAAGGTTAAAATTATAAACATCAAATGTTCAAAATTAATTTACTCTTTTTCAACTAAATATGGTCAAACGTCAAATTTTTTACTTGATATTTTTTAGCTTTTACGTTTCTTTTATCTTCTCACTCTTTCACTCATCAATCTATTCGCTCTTTCTACTTTCTCCCTCTCTCACTCAATCTTTCATTTATTCACTTTCCAAGCTTTCATCTGTAAATTAAA